TTTGCATATGCCACGCCCCCTGACATCACCGGAAGTGTGTCAGAAGGCAACACCCACTGCTCAGGCTCCACTGGACTGTTTTAGATTGCTAGCTATTTTTTGGGGGGGGGGAACGTGCAGATCTGTCCTCACAGAGGAGGGAGAGCTTGTACCTGAAGGTGGGATGGGGGGGGGGCCTCTGCAACTTACCTGGTTACTTCCTGTTCCTCGTGGCCTGACTAAGGGCTGCTGGGAGCAGGGGGTGGGGCTTGTTGCCTGTGCCCGCCCTCTGGACTCCTTACTGCCGTAGCCCCTGCTACTATGTATGATTGCCATGTCTGTATCATTTCACCTTTCTCCAGTCCATCTGTCCCAGGGAGTGACTTTCCCTGGCTGACCTCCAGTTGGTTCACTCTTTTATCATGGTATTCACTTTGGGGACCGTGGGTCAGTCTCTTCTTTGGTCGTCTCAGAGCTGTTCTCTCAGGAGCAGTGTCTGTTGTGGGGAGGGGAAGGGAAGGAGAGTGTAAGTAGCTCTGATGCTCCGAGTGAAGGGCGGGGTACAAATCCAATCTCCTCCTCCTCCTCCTAACTTCGAGAAGGCGAGGGCAAAATGGAGGAGAAACCATGTATACCACCCTGAACTCCTTGGAGGAAGAAGGATGGGTTAAAAAACGACAGGGGAAAGATTTAGAGGTGCCGGGGAATACCGGTCCCCCTCCCCATTGGAGAAGACTCAACTGGATAGGGTCTCTACAAAGCTAACTTGGATTCTTTGTACTCGAGGTGGGTCCCAGTGGAAGGTTCCAGGGACATCTGCAGCTGCTGTGAAACCAGGAAGTGTGGACCGACGGGTGGCCAGCCAGGAAGACTCAATCCCTGGGACAGGTGGTCTGGAGGAAGGCGAGTCGGCAGAGACGTGGCGGCCAGACGTGGTACGTTCCACGAGAAAGAAACCCACTGATCTTGATGTAACGACCCTCCCACCGGTTCACTCTTGTAGTTGTGTAATACTCTCAAGCTAAAGGTGTCTCGTTGAACTTTGCTCGAATATAGAGAGGCAGAAGAAAGAAGTGGAGACAGATGTTACATTAGGACCTGTCCTCATCATAGATGCGTACATGGCTTCCAGAAGGACCCTGGGCCACCGAAGCCAAGCACTGGAGGCAACTGAAGAACAAGGTGTGTCAGACTGTTAATAATCTGGCAAGAATGGCTGGTTGGGGGGTAGAGCAGGAGAAGGCCTTGAAATTTGGCTGCAGTCTTCAGAATCAGTGCTGAGATTAGAATTGCTATAGAAGAGGCAGGACATGCATAAGATCATCAGACAAGCCCTGCTGGATCAGACCAGTGGTCCATCTAGTCTCACACAGTCTCACACAGTGGCCAACCAGTTCCTCTGGAGGGCCAACAACAGAGCATGGAGGCCGAGGCCTTCATAAAAACAACAGCCCTGCTGGATCAGACCAGTGGTCCGTCTAATCCAGCATCCTGCCTCACACAGGGGCCAGCCAGTTCTTCTGAAGGTCCAACAACAGGGCAGAGGCCGAGGCCTTTCTAAGGACACCAGAAGAGCCCTGCTGGATCAGACCATTGGTCCATCTAGTCCAGCATCCTGTCTCACGCAGTGGCCAACCAGTTCCTCTGAAGGGCCAACAACAGGTCAAAATGGCCAAGGCCTTCCCCTGTCGCCTCTTGGCTCCAGGAGTCAGAGGTTAATGCCTCTGAACATGACGATTTCCCCTCAGTCACCATGGCAAGTAGCCACTAATAGATTCATGGAGGATTGGTCTATCTTATTTGCTGTTTATTCCTGTGGCCATCGCTACATCCTCTGAGAGTGATTTCCAAATTTTAATAATTCACTGGTTGGAGAAGTATTTCCTTTTGTCCGTCCTGAACCTCCTGCCCGTCGGCTTCACTGGATGCCCCCAAGTTCTAGTCTTTTGGGAGAGGGAGAAAAATGTCCCTTTCTCAACTCTCTCCGCTCCATGCATAAGTTTATAGACCTCTCTCATGTTCCCTCCCTTAGTCTGAGAAGTTCCAATAGCTTTTGCTCTTTCGCTCTTTATTTCATGAGTAAGACTAGCACTGGATGCCCCCAAGTTCTAGTGTTTTGGGAGAGGGAGAAAAATGTCCCTTTCTCAACTCTCTCCACTCCATGCATAAGTTTATAGACCTCTCTCATGTTCCCTCCCTTAGTCTGAAAAGTTCCAATAGCTTTCGCTCTTTCGCTCTTTATTTCATGAGTAAGACTAGCAAATGCCTGTCCTACGGTTTCCGACTTCCAGGTGGTCGCTGGAGATACCTGGAGATATCTTGGAATTCAATTTCAATTCAAAACCTTTATTGGCATCGATCAGAATCATAAACTGATCTCCAGCCAGCGGATCAGTTCACCTGGAGAAAATGGCCCCTTTAGAAGGCGGACTCTACGGCATTGAAGCCCCTCCCCTCCCCAAGCCCTGCCCTCCTCGAAAATATCAAAGTACTGAATTCTCCATCGTTATGATTTCACGGTTCGTGTATTTTCCGATTCAACCTCCAGATGTTGGCTGGAGTTCTCCCGGGATTACGACTGAGCTCCATTTTCGGTTCCCCTGGAGAAAACGGCTGCTTTGGAAGGTGGGCTCTAGGGCATTGCACCCCACGGAAGCCCCTCCCCTCCCCAAACCCCGCCCTCTTCCGGCTCCACCCCCCAAATCTCCAGGTCTTTCCCATGCGGGAGGTGGCGGCCCTAGCCTGTTCTCACGTGTTCTCTGTGGAGTGGCCTCCTTGAGGAGGTCAGGAAGTCTCCCACACTTTCCTCATTCTGCAGAATGCGCAGGCTGGAAACGTTCAGGAGGGCATTTCCCTGAAGGGATTAGAACATCAGCAGTCCCGGAGAGAACCTCCCTAACGCGTGTTCTCTGTGGAGTGGTCTCCTTGAGAAGGTCAGGAAGTCTCCCACACGTTCCTCATTCTGCAGAATACGCAGACTGGAAACGTTCAGGAGGGCATTTCCCTGAAGGGATTAGAACATCAGCAGTCCCGGAGAGAACCTCCCTAACGGAAGAGGACTGTAACCGACTGCAGTTATTCTAGGTAGTGGCCGGAAGTGCCGTTTTAAGTCGCAGCCTACTTTTGGTGACACAGTAGGGTTTTTGAGGCCAGGGATGTTCAGAGGTGGTTTGCCATGGCCTGCCTCTGCGTAGCAACCCTGGGCTTCCTTGGTGGTCTCCCATCCAAGGACTAACCAGGGCTGACCCTGCTTAGCTTCTGAGATCTGATGAGATTGGGCTAGCCTGGGCCATCCAGGTCAGGGCCAGAGATGCACAGAGGTGGTGTGCCGTGGCCTGCCTCTGCGTAGCAACCCTGGGCTTCCTGGGTGGTCTCCCATCCAAATACTAACCAGGGCCGACCCTGCTTAGCTTCCGAGATCTGACGAGATCGGGCTAGCCTGGCCCATCCAGGTCAGGGCCAGAGATGCACAGAGGTGGTGTGCCGTGGCCTGCCTCTGCGTAGCAACCCTTGTCTTCATTGGTGGTCTCCCATCCAAAATCTAACCCGGGCCGACCCTACTTAGTTTCCGGGATCTGATGAGATTGGGCTAGCCTGGGCTGTCCAGGACACAGCATTACGTTAGCTTTTACTCCATTGTCTACCGTTGTAATTTCACTTATTGCATCGTTTGGTTAAGCCTGCTAACTCCAGGTTGGGAAATTCCTGGAGATTTTGGGGGTGGTGAGGGCAGGGTTTGGGGAGGGGCCTTGGCTGAGTAGGACGCCCCTCAAAGTGGCCACTTTCTCCAGGAGGGCTGATCTCTGCAGTCTGGAGTTAAGCTGACGATTCCAGAAGTTCTCCAGGCCCTGCCTAGAAGCTGGCAACATTGTTCATGTGGCTTGTTCACCTTGTCCTTCAATTCTGTACTACAGCGTTGTTCAGTGGATGTCTTACGCTGGTGAAACATGCCCTTTAATCCCTCGTGTTCTTGTTTACAGGGAGCTTTACCAATCCTGCACTGATAGTCGGGCTGGTCTTGATGTCTGTTTCTGTGGTTCTGGCTCTGACTCTAGGAGGTCTCCTCTTGGCCAAGAAGCGTTCCGGCTCTCCTTAAGCGATCCCGATGGTGTCACGCCTTGATGCAAAAATAAAAAGAAGCAGTAAAGTAAATGGAACTTGCTTGCGTCTTGACTTGCCTGGAAGAAACGTGTAGGGGATATTTGGTTAATCTGGGCCCCGGTCACACGGGCCGGATGGGGGGGGGGGGGGGCTGTTTACCCTGGAGCGAACTACCGCGCGGCAGCGGGATCAAACGTCCTGCCAACGTCCCATGGTCGGGGCGGGGAGGTGCCGATCATACGTCAATCCTGCGGCGCAGCAAAGAAGCGGATGGGCAGGGGTTGTTGTTGTTTTTTAAAACCCAAGTGTTCGCATGCTCCATTGGGTGCTTGTGCGCATCCCATGTAGACTTGGGGGAAAAAACCCTTTTCGCGACGGGACATGGGCGGGCGCCGGATGCCACCGGAAACGTGATCAGACGCCCGCCCTTGCCCCGTGGTTTCCGGAAACTAGTACCTCGGAGGTACTAGTTTTTTACCCCGCATCTTCGGTGGGAAGCCTCGGGTGAGCCACAGGAGCTCTATGCTTCCCAGATGTGACGCTGTGATCGCACCCCGAAAATCCGCCTATCTTCCGTCTCTGTAGCGTGGCTAATGCTCCGTGTGACCGCAGCCATAGCAGAGTTTTGCAGTCATGGAACCGTGACCCTGAGTGCAGTAAATAAATCTCCCAAAAAGTATACTGGAAAAAAGAAAAGGTGAACTTACAATTATTCGAATAGATTCAGGTGGGGTCGCCGTGTTGATCTGAAGCAGCAGGACAAAGTCTGAGTCCGGTGGCACCTTTTAAGGCCAACAAAGTTTAATTCTGGGCATAAGTCCCTTGGACTGCAAGGAGATCAAATCAATCAATCCTAAAAGAAGGCCAGATGCTGAAGCTCAAATACTTTGGCCACCCAATGAGAAGGGAGCACTCCCTGGAGAAGACCCTGATGCTGGGAAAGATTGAAGGTCAAAGAAGATGGGGATGGCAAAGGATGAGATGGTTAGACAGTATCATAGATGCAATGAACATGAAATTGAGCAAACTTCAGAGGACGGCGGAAGACAGGAGGGCCTGGCGGGAGCTGGTCCATGGGGTCGCGAAGAGTCGGACTCGACTGTGCGACTGAACAACAAAACAACCATAAGCTCTCGTGTTGCAAGCACACTTCTTCAGGTACAGTGAAACACAATTTCCTCTACCTTTACCTATGCTTGAGTTATGGCTGGGGACATTCGTTTTCACTGTATCTGAAGAAGTGCGCTTGCACCCGAAAGCTATACCTTGAATAAAACTTGGTTCTTAAAAAGGTGCCACTGGACTCGAACCTTGTTCTATCTATTCAAGTCGATCCAGTTCACATTCAGTTTGCAATCCAAAGGAGAAAGAGAAGCCTCATCTAAAGAATATGTTCCCTCTCACAAGTGGCCAACTTGCCTGGTACCGTGTGTGTGGGTCGATGAGAGCAATTGTCTCTACAGGAGAGACCCACAGAGACATGTGTCTCCACGGAAGGCCATGTCAAGAGAGGGAGAGGACAAAGGGGGAGAGAGAGAGAGGGGGTCAGAGGGCAGCTCCCAAGTTAAGACAGAGAGAGGCACCCCATTCAAGGAGATAACACCTGTACACCCTTAGAGCGATGTAGGGCCTGCTCTGTGTCTAGGCATACTGAGTCGCTCACTCCAACAAGGTAAACTAGGAGATTGCTTTTTTTTTTTAAATCCCCGTAGGGATATTTTTTATTTTGCAAATACTACAAACTACAAAGAAATATAGGGAAGGGACTACAACTAAGGATAAAGAAAAGCAAACCACACTATACTAAAACCCCAAGAGGAGGAGATCTTTTTAACTGTTAGTAAACATGTTAGTACCATTAGTTTTATTATCACAATATACTTGTTGAGTTCTTGCTTATAACAGTTCGCTTCTTAGTGAACTAGGAGATTGCTGATCAGGCGGACAACAGCTTGGAAGCTCCAGGTACTCGTGCTCTGAAACTAAAATAATAGGCCTGATTAAAAGGAAAGGGGAGAATGGGCTTTGCTTTCTTCATGGAGGTGCTGTTTGAAGATCAATTATTCTTCCAAGGCTACTTGAGTTCTCTTCTGTTTTCAGACGAAAAATCACTTCTGGGTCAACAGAACTTTATTTCCCGTCTCAACGTTTCCTCACTGCTACAAGAAGTTGAGTAAGAAATTGGAGCATAAGCCATAGACAATGAATTGCTTTGTTCGGTAATGCCTCCAGATGGGGCCTGGAGAAATCCCAGGATTAGGGCTCATCTCCACATTAAGAGATCAGTTCCCCCTGGTGAAAACAAATGCTTTGGAAGGCGGGACTCTGTGCTGTTATACCCTGCGGAAGTTCTTTCCCAGACCTCCCCAGGCTCTATGCCCAAATATCCAGGAATATCCCAACCTGGAGTTGGCAAACCTCACTGGCAGTCTAGGAATTCCACTCGCGGCACCCCGAGCAGGCACTTCTCCCGCTTGACCTTTAGCCCCACCGAGTCGAAGCGTTGCAAGACGGCCCTCAGTCGGTCTGCGAAGGACGAGGGGTCCGGGGCGGCGATCAGCACGTCATCTAGAAATGGCTGAACCCCGGGGATGCCTTTAAGGAGGGAATCCATAAATTATTGAAAGATCCCTGGAGCGACTGAGACCCCGAAATGGAGGCGGTGCACTTTGAACGCCCCCTTGTGGGTCGAAATGGTCTGTGCCTCGGCCGTGGCGGCGTCCACCGGCAACTGCTGGTACGCCTGAGCCAAGTCCAATTTGCCGAAGACCCGGGCAAGTCCGGGCATGTCAGGCTGAATACATTACAAGCTGGACAAACACTTGTCAGGGATACTTTAGGCTGATCCAGCACTGAGTGGGGGGGTTGGAGTAGATGGCCTCTATGGCCCCTTCCAACTTTGATTCTAAGGGTTTCTAAGCAAGCAAAAGAGAAGAAGAGATTGGATTTATACCCCGCCCTTCATTACCCAAAGGAGACTCAGAGCTGCTTACAATCTCCTTTCCCTCCCCCTCCCCATAACAGACACCCTGTGAGGTAGGTGCGGCTGAGAGAGCTCATTCGAGAACTGCTCCTGAGAGAACAGCTCTGGGAGAACTTGTGACTGATGTGGATGATTGTGGGCCCGCCGCCAACGTGCCCGACGTGATCATGTCACCTCTGGGTGACGTGCTCACGCCGGGCATGTCGCACGCTTGGGGGGGGGGTCCCCCCCAGGGTCCCGATCCATCGACAATGGGTAATGGGCCTCTCAGGCGGGGGTTTCCCCGCCCCCCGGGGGGACTTGGCAAGCCTACTAACAGGCCATATTGGCATTCATAAATAATAAAACAATGAAACACTTTAAACAAGTTAAAAACCATTCAGATCATTTAAAACACAGCATACATAAGATGACAAAACTGTCTAATAGGCTACCATGGGAGAAAACAGCGACTGGCGTCTAGTTCTTGAGTGTTTTGTTCTATAGTAAGAGGGCATAGATGTTAAACAGGCAGCCAAAGTAATCTAAAAAGTAATTTGCCGGTAAGCAAAAGGAGACATAACCAGGGATAAAAATATTCTCCATTGCCAATGTTCCTGGAGAGCCAGTTTGGTGTAGTGGTTAGAAGCACGGACTCTAATCTGGGAGAACTGGGTTTGATTCCCCACACCTTCACGTGCAGCTGCTGGTGTGACCTTGGGTCAGTCGCAAGTTCTTTCAGAGCTGTTCTCTCAGCCCCACCTACCTCACAGGGTGTCTGTTGTGGGGAGGGGAAGGAGATTGTAAACTGCTCCGGGACTCCTTCGGGCAGTGAAGGCCGAGGTATAAATCCGGTCTCCTCTTCTCCTCTTCCTTCTAAGAGTATAATATTGAATTGAGTTAGAGATTCTCTAACCTCAAATGAATTGTTCTTAGTAGCCCCTCCTGCAATATTCCATGAGCACATCTTTAGTATGCATTTATTTAGTATACATTGGAAGTTACTTGACGGCACATAACACATGAACAGCATGAGCAAAAAAGTAAGATCTTGAAATGAGCTGCAAGAGCTAAGAGGAAACTTTCCTGCTTTGGGTTGTCTGAACTGCCAGCAAAAGGGCGTCGGACCCGAAAGGGTTACAGGCAGGAGCCAAGGGTGATCAGCTGACTGTCTCCTAGCATCAGCTGACACTGCCCTAGCTCTTCAGTGATTGGCCGGAAGGGAGGAGTCAGCTGATCCTCCTCTGCAGGGTAGAGGGAAGGAGGCCAGTGCAGGAAATCATGGTGAGTCGGTGCAGGATTGTTAGTTTGTTTGATTTAGCAAGAGAGATTTGGGTTTTGATTGACAGGAGACCGACTTTTGTGCATGGGAATTGATTTTGCTTCTTCTTTCCAGAGGTTCCGGTTCTGTGGCGACTTGGACTGCCCAGACTGGGTCTTGGCAGAGATCAGCACCTTGGCCAAAATAGTAGGTGGATATTTTTTTCTGTGCTAGAATAAATGTTTTGTTTCTGATAGGGTGCATTTGGAATTTGCTTCGTTGTGGTCGCTGTGTGGTCCTGGTTCACCCCAGACTAACAACCGTCTGGATAGCCCAGGCTAGCCCAATGTTGTCAGATCTTGAGAATTAAGCCGGGACTTGTTGAGAGATCAAACTAAACAAAACGTGAGAGAAAATTGGACACCATTTCATGAATGGGTGAAAAGGAATTGTGGAAAGGAAGATCATGTATAGCAGATTATAGTTATTATCAGGGGTCATTTCCTGCAGGAGCGCACAGGAGCGGAGCTCCCGCAGTAGAGAGCCCAGGGGGCAGGCACGTGCAACAAGCCCCACCCCCTGCTCTCAGCAGCCCTCAGTCAGAGCAAGAAGCAGCCAGGTAAGTTGCAGAGCTCCCCACGGCCTGGTCCCCTGGCCCAAAACAGTCCAGTGGCACCTTTAAGACCAAGTTTTATTCAGGTGCAAGCTCTCCCTCCTCTGCGAGGACAGATCTGCACGTCCCCCCCCCCAATAGCTAGCAATCCAAAACAGTCCAGTGGAGCCTGAGCGGTGGGTGTTGCCTTCTGACACACTTCCAGTGATGTCAGGGGGTGTGGCATATGCAAATAAGTTACGCTAATAAGTTATGGTAATGAACTCCTGCACCTCTTTTTCTACGAAATGACCCCTGGTTATTATAACCTAGGTTAAAAGTAAGATGAACTGTAAAGAATGTGTACCGTTACAAGAATCATAATAGAAGATTTTAGAGACTGGTTTAAGAGCTCAGATTTAGAAAGTACTTAAAGGAAAAGAAGTATGGAAAGAAAGGCTTAAGATGGAAATTGTATTGTAACAGCTATTCCCTTGTTGTCTTATCCCCTTCCCCATGTCCTTCCCTCCCCAAATGTCTTATATATTTATTAAAAATCAAATTAAAAATGTAATTTAAAAAAAAGAGAGAATTAAGCAGGGTGGGCTCTGGTCAGTATTTGACGGGGAGACCACCAAGGGTTGCTATGCAGAGGCAGGCAAGGCCGAACCACCACTGCACATCTCTTGCCCTGACCTGGATGGCTCAGGTCATCCCCATCTTGTCCAAATTCAGAAGCTAAGTAGGGCCGGCCCTGGCTAATACTTGGATGGGAGACCCCTAAGGAAGCCCAGGGTTGCTCCACAGAGGCAGGCAGTGGTGAACCACCCCAGAACATCTCTTGCCTTGAAAACCCTACAGGGTCTTCAGAAGTCAGCTGCAACTTGACGCCTCCCACCCCCCAAAGTTGGATGCTGTTTCATTGCTGGAAGACCTAAGAAGAAGAAGAAGAAGGAAGAGATTGGATTTATACCCCGCCCTTCACTTGGAGTCTCAGAACGGCTTACAGACTCCTTTCCCTTCCCCTCCCCACAACAGATACCCTGTGAGGTGGGTGGGGCTGAAAGAACTCTGACACAAACAGCTCTTTTTCAAGGACAGCTGTGCCAGAGCTTGTGACTGACCCAAGGTCACATCAGCAGGTACAAGTGGAGGAGTGGGGAAATCAAACCCTGTTCTCCCAGATTAGAGTCCGCACACTTAACCATGACACCAAACTGGCTCCTAGTGGCGATTTCCTTTTGATTTTCCACAAGCCTGGGAAAAGTGTGTGCGTGGCTAAGAATGTCATTGCTTCTAAACGACTGTTTTAGGGCCGCCAGCCTCCAGGTGGGACCTGGAGGTCTCCTGGACTCCCAACTGATCTCCAGAGTACAGAGATCAGTTCCCCTGGACAATATGGCTGCTTTGGATGATAGACTCTATGATATTAGATCCTGTGATCCCTATTTATATTTATTTATTTATTTTTCATATTTGTATCCCGCCCTCCCCAATGGGCTCAGGGCGGCTAACAAGGGCAAGGTCATTTCCCATGCCATAGGTAAAAACATATAAAACATAATAAAACATCCAACACTAAAACCACAGTACTTGATCCATTACTAATATCCCAAATCCAAGATGGTAACACCGCAGTTCCAGATGGTCCTCCCATAGTATACGTGTCCAATGGCGACAGCTTGTCAGATCTTCAATAGTTTCCAGGTTCTTCCTCGGGCCTCGTCGATGCATCCTTTAAGATACCTTGACGGTGGTGGTATAATGGGGGGGCGGCTCCTACTCAAAGGCCTGGCGGAAGAGCTCCGTCTTACAGGCCCTGCGGAACTAGGTTCTCCCCCCAAATCTCCCGGAATTTCCTATCTTGGAGTTAGCAACTTTATCTTTCTTAGAAGAAGAAGAGATTGGATTTATACCCTGCCCTTCGCTCGGAGTCTCAGAGTGGCTTACAATCTCCCTTCCCTTCCCCTCCCCACCACAGACACCCTGTGAGGCAGGTGGGGCTGAGAGAGCTCTTTCGAGGACTGCCCTTGAGAGAACAGCTCTGAGAGAACTTGTGACTGACCCAAGGCCACACCAGCAGCTGCGTGTGGAGGAGGAGTGGGGAATCAAACCTGGTTCTTCCAGATTAGAGCCCGCACTCCTAACCACTACACCAAACAGTATCTTCCATAACCCCTTATTTGATGCAGTGAAGTAAAATTTAGGATGTGTTGGACTATGTTGTTTCTGCGATGTTTCCTTGTGTAATTTATGGAGATGCTGAAGTAATTGGTAAAGTCTGAGTGGGCATTTTGTTGTCTTTTACTTCAGTCCTCGGTGAAACTTAAGCTGATCTGTGCTCAGGTTCTAAAGGATCTACTTGGCGAGGGAATTGACGTAAGTCATCTTTCTTCTGTCTCTCTTTTTATCTTTCATCCTAGCTACATCTGCATAGCTCAAACAACTCGGTTCTTCTGTTGTCTAGTTTCTGCCAAGAAGGTGGGAGGTGAACTCCCCCAAGAGAAAGAAGCATACGCACCCCCATGAAGCTTGCGTTTTCAAGTAGGCCCTTTTACTGAAAGTATGCCCTGCTGTTGGCCTGAAAATGCAACTGTATGTGGAGTTAAATTGGTCAAAGCCAACTGAAATCAACGGTTATAAATTGAAGCAACTTTGTGTAGGATTGCCCTGTTGATCTTGATTTCCAGAGGCCAGGAAAAATCAGAGAAGGAACTGTTTTGGTTCATCTGAGTCTGTAGGAGGGGTGGGGTAAATGATAAATAAAACAACATTCTAATTTAGGACTAACTATAATAGAACAGTACATCTTGTCGTGCCTCTGTAGCCTAGTAAACTTGGGAATGTGTCCTGTTTGATAGCCATTCCCCCGCCGCAAAGAAAAGCTTTTGTGTGTAATGAGTTTGAAGATCTTGGAGGATACGGTTGAAAATCCTGTTTGTTTCCCAGTCCCAAATAATACTTGACTAGTATGATGTAGGAGCAGGGGTCATTTCTTTCAGGAGCACACAGGAGTGGAGCTCCGGCAGTAAAGAGCCCAGGGGGCGGGCACATGCAACAAGCCCCACCCCCTGCTCCCAGCAGCCCTCAGTCAGAGCAAGAAGCAGACAGGTAAGCTGTAGAGCCTGCCCCCCCGGTCCAAAACAGTCCATTGGCACCTTTAAGACCAAGGTTTATTCAGGTACAAGCTCTCCCTCCTCTGCAAGGACAGATCTGCACGTTCCACCCCCCCAATAGCTAGGAATCCAAAACAGTCCAGTGGAGCCTGAGCGGTGGGGTGTTGCCTTCTGACACACTTCCGGTGATGCCAGGGGCTGTGGCCTATGCAAATGAGTTATGCTAATGAGTTCCTGCTGTTGGGTGTGGCCTATTATGCTAATGAGTTGTGCTAATGAGCTCCCGCACCTCTTTTTCTACAAAATGACCCCTGTAGGAGCCAGTTATGAACCACTAGTTTAGCTGCAGCAGCCCTTCTAGAAGCTTCTGTGTGATCTGGAGTGGACCTGTGTCTCTTGAGGACTTGAGTGGTTCCATGCAGGGCTTTTTTTGTAGAAAAAGCAGGAACTCATTAGCCTAATAGGCCACACCCAACAACAGGAACTCATTAGCATATCCAGGCACACCCCTGATAGTACAGCTCATTAGCATATTAGGCCATACCCCCGTGTTACCAGAAGTCTGGTCATCCAGCCACGCCCACCTTTTGCTCCTTATTCTGTCTACCTTGTTTGTTGTCAAAACCCAGGGCCTTTTTTTGTAGCAGGAACTCCTTTGCATGTTAGGCCACACACCCCTAATGTAGCCAATCCTAATGAGTTCCTGCTGTTGGGTGTGGCCTATTATGCTAATGAGTTCCTGCTGGGCGTGGCCAACTTGGGAGCCAGCCGGAACTCCGTTCCGGTGCGTTCCTGCCCCAAAATAGCCCTGGTTCCATGACACATAAGAAGGACTGGAGCATCCTTCGGGTTTTCTCAAGAGACCTAAACCAGGAATTGTTTTGGGGTTTGGTTTTTTTTCCATTTTTTGAAATAGTTTCCCCCCTTATCTTGCAGTATGAGAAGATTCTGAAGCTGACCTCCGATGCTAAGTTTGGTGAGTTCTCTTCCCTTTTTCTAGATGGAAGCCCTGACTTGGGTAGCCCGGGATAGCCCAATCACATCAGATCTCAGAAGCTGAGCAGGGTCCGCCTTGGCTAGTGTTTGGAAGGGCGACCTCCAAGGAATACCAGGGGCCTTATGACGCAGAGGCAGGCAATGGCAAACCACCTCTGAAACGTCTCTTGCCTCATAAACAAGTCTAGCGCACCACCTAGTGGTGCGTATAGTTAAAAGATGTAGAACTTCTGGCTGCCAGACAATCTTAGGATCCCCTGGCTATTCTACACACAGTGCCATACGATAATAATAATAAGTATAATAGCCAATGTGCCCTGACCTGGAGGGCCCAGGCTAGCCTGATACAATCAGCTCTCAGAAGCTAAGCAGGGTCGGCCCCGGCTAGTATTTGGTAGGGCGACCTCCAAGGAATACCAGGGTCCTCGTGACGAAGAGTCAGGCAATGGCAAACCACCTCTGAAATGTCTTAAAAACAAGTCTTGCTCACCACCTAGTGGTAAAAGGTAAAGGTAAAGGTTCCCTTGCTTGAAAGCCAGTCGAATCCGACTGTAGGGTTGCAGTGCTCATCTCCGTTTCAAAGCCAAAGAGCCAGCGCTGTCCGAAGACATTTCTGTGGTCATGTGGCCGGCATGACTAAACACCGAGGCACACGGAACGCTGTTACCTTCCCGCCGAAGTGGTACCTATTTATCTACTTGCAATTTCTTGCTTTCGAACTGCTAGGTTGGCAGGAACTGGGACTAGAGACGGGAACTCACTCCATCATGCGGCAACCCAGGTCTTGAACTGCTGAACTACTGACCTTCCACAGCCTGCAGTTCAGCATCTTAAACCACTTGAGCCACCGCAGCTCCTAGTGGTGAGCACCAACTAGTGGTGCATTATCGTTAAAAGAGCTAGAACTTCTGGCTACCAGGCAATCTTAGGATCTCTTAGCTATGCTACACAAAATCCCATAGAATGATGACGATGATAATAATACTGATGATAATAATAATCTACATGTGCTTTTTAAGTTCAACTTTTGTAACTCTTACCGCAGTACCCAGAATGAATGATTCCCAAATGCCACTCAGTTGTATGTGATTGTTGGTCCCCAGGGGGCCACGGTGGCTTAGAGGTTAACACTCTGAGCTGCAGACCGGAAGGTCTGTAGGTCGGCAGTTTGAGACCCGAGTTGCCGCATGACGGAGTGAGCTCCCATTTCTGGCCCCAGCTCCTGCCAACCTAGCAATTCGAAAGCAAGACATTGCAAGTAGATCAATAGGTACCGCTTCGGTGGGAAGGTAACAGCGTTCCGTGTGCCTCGGCGTTTAGTCGTGCCGGCCACATGACCACGGAAACGTCTTCGGACAGCACTGGCTCTTCGGCTTGGAAACGGAGATTAGCACCGCACCCCGAGAGTCGGATTCGACTGGCTTTTGAGCGAGGGAAACTTTTACCTTTAACAGACCAAAGATGTTTGCTGCTTCTTTGTGCTGGAGAAGGAACAGCAGGCAGCAGGCAGAACCTCGATCCTCGCAATGACGTGTGAGTCGCTTCCACTTGTATGCTGATCATCGTCCCTGTCGCTCCTCCTCTCTGCAGAGTCTGGGGATGTTAAAGCCACCATCGCGGTGCTCAACTTCATCCTCTCCAGCGCTGCCAAACATAATGTCGACAGCGAGTCTTTATCCAGCGAGCTGCAGCAGCTGGGGCTGCCCAAAGGTGAGCCAGGGCAAGGTGAGGCCAGTGGTCCCTCTAAGCCGTGGAGTCTTGTGAGCAAGAACCCTACTTTGTGAGCTCCTGGCATTTAAAGTGGTGAGCGAGCGATTTGGCTGCTGCAGAAATTAGTTGGCTCCGGAGCCCTCCTTCCTGAGCTGAGACAAAAATGAGTGAGCCGGAGGCTAAAAAACTGTGAGCTAGCTCACACTAACTCAGCTTAGAGGGGATACTGCTTCCCACTCCCCTGCCTCCCCGCCCCCCTCGATTTCCCACCACCCAAAATGTTCTGGCTACGACCCTGGTTAGACTGGGTTGACGGCCGGCTGGATTCTTGCCTCCAACTTGTTTTCTGAACCCTCCTCTTTTTGCATTTCAGAACATGCCACGGGACTGTGCCGGTCCTACGAGGAGAAGCAGAGTGCCTTACAGGACAGCCTCCGGGGATGCAGCCTGCGACGTAAGTCCACCCTCGGATTGGCTTTTTATTTATTTATTTATTTATTTATTTGGGACCTACCCAACGGCTCAGGGCGGCTAACAGACGGCCATGCCGAGTTAAAAAATATAAAACAGTACACAGTACAGACAGTAAAACAATGTTACCTACATAATAAAATTTGGTGCTCTAATAATTTACATAAAGTGACCAAGATGCACGACGTCCCATACTGGTGGCCAATTTTCTTCATAGCATGAGCTCCAGGAACAATATTTTCCCCGGCTCAATCGGGGTAGATGGCTGGGATTTCAGTGGTGGAATAGTGGCGGCGGCGGCTCCCCCTCAAAGGCCTGGCGGAAGAGCTCCGTCTTGCAGGCCCTGCGGAACTGTACCAGGTCTTTGAGGCCCCTGGGAGGACGGCGCTCGTGAGAAGCTTATTTATTTATTTATTATTAGACTTACATCCCGCCCTCCCCGCTGTGGCAGGCTCAGGGTGGCTAACAATTCATACGTATAGATCCATACATTAAAACTCCAAAATATGCTAAAAACGGAATTAGGTTGAGATCACAATACAGAACCATAACTGCTCCGAACATAGCTGTCATAGAAGACGGCGGCGTTCCTTCCGCATTCGAATGGTCGCCTACGCCATAGTCCAGGCCAGGGGACGTTTCGTGGAAAAAGAGGTGCAGGAGCTCATTAGCATAACTCATTAGCATAACTCATTTGCATATGCCACCACCCCCTGACATCACCGGAAGTGTGTCAGAAGGCAACACCCACTGCTCAGGCTCCACTGGACTGTTTTGGATTGCTA